GTTTGAGTTAAGAAGAGCACTCGTTGAAGAAGCACGGTTACATTTTATGTAACGATAAGGTTGATCGTCGTACGGTTCGTGGAAAAAATTTCCGAAAATGTCAAGTATCCCGTCGTATCCGCAACTGTCAACAATGTGAAGCTAATTTATAACACACGTCCACGAACAATGACCGACACACACACACACACACACATATGTAATTATTTCTACGAATAAACAGTTCGCTGATTTTCTATTCGATAATTACAGATTAGAGGCTTACACGGATGATGTAAGTCAGGAGAGCTAAACGAGAGGAATACCAAAGTGGAGATACACAAGAGAAAAGAGAAGATGTTCCCTTGGAGAGTTCTGCTCCTCTTTGTCCTGGGAATTTCCTTCTGTCTCTGCTCCACAGACTCCACCAGGTCGGCAAGGGCATTTAAAGGACGATTTCGAACATCTTATGCTGCATGGCGTGTCGTGCTGTGTCTGACACAGCCGCAGGGCTCACTGAAGACAGATGTGCAGAAGGCATGGGAGAAGGCCAGGCTAGACTCGTCTCACGCTGATACGAACGTATCATTGATAGAGGCACCGCCGAAGACAGACTCGTTGTCCTACCCGTTGTCGTTGCTGAACAAATTCTGCAACGAGATCAAAGGTGGCAAAACTGTGCTCAGCCTGATAATTGGAGGAGGATCAGCAGCCAAATTTCTCGTTACAGCTGCAGCCTCCTTAAATATTCCAGCTCTCTGGCTACCATTCACCCACGAAGATTTCCTCAGACAAGTACGTACATATGCCACAACTTTGTCATTATTATCAAATTAAGTTTCGCATTGGAGAATTTTTCTTCTACAGGGAAATCTTGGCCAATTCGAGAGTCGTATAGGCTCCAGCACGAAGGAGGTCGGAGCAGCTGCGGCGGCACTGATGCACAGAGCGAACTGGCACGCGTTCACCTTGCTCATAGACACCACTTTACTCCCTATGACTCATCTCCTGCACGCTAATCAAACTATTCTGACACCCAGGACTATCATACACCTACCAACCAACGACAAGACGCTAAGGATGAGATTGAGAAGAGTTGCCGAAGAAGGAGGTAGCGGAGGTGTTATAGTGATGGGCTGCGACCTGAACAGTGCAAGGAGGATACTAGCTGTGGCTGGAAAATACGAAATGCTCGCCGGGAGATTCTTATGGCTCTGGCTGGACCTGAAGGCGGAACTGAGACCGAACGAACCGAACATAATCAGCTCGCACATTATACACAGCTCAAGATCGTCGATAGTGACGAACGAGAATCCTTCTCCTGTAGAGAATATCAACCGAAACGCGAATCTGATCGCTGAGTCCCAAGTTTCTTTGAATTCCTTGCCCGGTTTAGCGAACGATGTACACAGACTGCAAGAATACAGGTGGCGGAGCGAGAGATCAGTTGGTAAACAGGAGGACAAAGGGTACAACTTCGACGATGACGAAGAGATCAGGATAATGGGCAAAGAATTGAATTCTAAAGATTTTATGCCAGTTGGTATGCTAGCACTGAGACCCTCGGGCATCAAATTGATGGGCAGCGACACTATTCTGTCCAGAATGATCAGGGAGACCTCCCAAGCACTAGACGAGACGTTCCTAGAAGTGAAACCCTTGCTGAATCGTTTAAGAGAGTCAGAATTAGACGAGTACTTTGTGCCAGAGTGCTTTCCAAAGAGCAGCGCTAAGTTTCTGATGAGTAGAGTGAGGCAAAATGTTTCTAAGACTCTGACACAGAAGCTGAGGAGGTCTGTGAGTCAACTTTCCAAGGACAAGGCCAAGTTCCAGTTGCTGAATCTTCAGGCCATAAGATTCCCTGGAAATAAGACTCAACTGAGGTTTGTCTAAACATTTATTCTACCTTCTAATCGAACGTGTACATTTTTCTGCTAATTTCTCAATGTTTTCCAACAGATGGACCAAAGTGGGCACTGTCAAGGGTGGAAAGGAGGTTCACCTGGACACCATCATCTGGCCAGGAGGCGGAATAGTGCCAGCGTATCTTGAACAGGGCGGAGAAAAAATCGGGATGCCTATGTACCGCATAGTAACAGCCCTGGCGTCTCCATTCACTATGGTGACCAACTTGCAAGAAGGTCTCTGTTTAAGAGGACTCTTCTGTCGCCAAGGGAACACTCTAATGTGTTGTTACGGTCTAAGTATGGACCTGATGTCTCTGGTATCTCGTGAATTAGGATTTAGATACGACCTATACCTAGTGAGAGATGGTCTGTTTGGAAAGAGAAATGGAAGTAGTGGCACCTGGAACGGAATCATGGGAGAACTGGTCTCTGGACGAGCCCAGCTGGCCTTTGCACCATTGAGCGTCTCTTCACACAGAGCTGAAGTGGTCGACTTCACCACACCTTATTTCTTCAGTGGAGTGAGCTTTCTGACTGCCCCAAAGGTCAAGTCAGAGATATCATTATTCGCGTTTCTGCTTCCATTCAGCCCAGAACTGTGGATCGCCGTATTCACCTCCTTAAACTTCACTGCCATCGCAGTGGCGCTGTACGAGTGGTTCAGCCCGTTTGGCCTGAACCCATGGGGCAGACAACGAAGCAAGAACTTCTCGATAGCCTCCGCTTTATGGGTGATGTGGGGCCTCCTCTGCGGTCACCTGGTCGCCTTCAAAGCGCCGAAATCTTGGCCTAACAAGTTTCTAATCAACATTTGGGGAGGATTCTCTGTAATCTTCGTGGCCTCCTACACGGCTAATATAGCAGCCCTCATTGCCCAGGGATTTCAACCCTCGTCCCTCTTTTTCCACCCAGCAGTCAGCAATTACCACGACAAAAGCGTGAGTCTCCTCCTTTCTTTTTATAGTCGCGAAAAATTGTGATCAACTGAAACATGAATTACGGTTGTATTCTGCTGTAGTTACTGTTGGAAAAAGTCGGTGCACCGAAAGCTTCAGCAGCAGAGTATTACGTGCAAAGAGCCAATCCAGAATTGTGGTCACACATGGCTCGATATTCCCTATCGAACGTTGCCGAGGGTGTAGAGAGGTTGAGAAACGGTACTTTAGACATACTCATAGCAGACACTCCTATTTTGGATTATTATCGAGCGATAGACAACGGCTGCCGCTTGCAAAAGATCAGAGACACCATAAACGAGGACACTTATGCTGTGGCTCTCACCAAGGGACATCCTTTGAAAGAAAGTATATCTAAAGTCATAGCTAATTACACGAGCACTGGCCTGCTCGATATTTTGCAGGAGAAATGGTAAACTATTTGCCTTATTCGCTTAGAATTCGAACAATTCGACGGTAATCAACATCGAGACGAAATTTTATAGGTACGGTGGTCTACCATGCATCAGAGGAAGAAAAGGAATGGACACTGGCGTCGAGCATGAGCAAGGAAGACAGCCCAGACCTCTGGGTGTGGCTTCCGTAGCAGGTGTATTTTGTCTCTTAGGAATGGGCGTTGTGCTGGGCACGATTATCCTGGCTGGGGAACACTTGTTTTACAAATACACTCTGCCCAGACTGAGGCACAGGCCAGAGAATTCGATATGGCGCAGCAGGAACGTGATGTTTTTTTCACAGAAACTGTACAGGTTCATCAATTGCGTGGAACTGGTGTCTCCGCACCACGCAGCCAGGGAATTGGTTCACACGGTTCGACAAGGACAAATCGCCTCTCTGTTCCAAAAAAGTGTCAAACGAGTAAGTGGCTCTTTGCTTCCAGATACTGTACTTGCCTTCATATATCTACAAGGTAGCCATGTTCCAGAAGGAACACGAACAACGTCGGAGGCGCAAGAGCAAGGCGCAGTTCTTCGAGATGATTCAGGAGATTCGAAGGTAACTTGGACGACTAACTCAGAAATCGTAATCTACTTGATAATATTATTACAAGCCAATAGCGGAGAATTAATTTTATTGCAGAGTTCAGCAAGAGGAGAAAATAGAAACAGTGTCAGAGGAGCAAGAGAAGATGACCACCTTCAAGAGGGAGGAGAAAACAGTGAAAGGCAGAGAAAGGAGCAGAAGCAAGAGTCCCCTGATGCCTCGTAGTCCAAAGAGGTCAGAGAAGAGCAGAAGTTCTACCAATTTATCCAGCTCCAGACTAGGACTCTCCCCTGTCAGTCTGGAGGCTCCCATGAAACCAAGAGAGTTCACTCTGAGCAGCACTAATCTCAGAGCGAGGAGTCCCCTGGAGACAGTGGGTCGTCGTCTAAGCCACGGAGACGGTGGATCACCACCTCCACGTTTGGGCTCTCATTTTGGAGGCAGTGCAACCCTACGACCGCTTGCTCCTACGAAAAGCGATTCCACAGGAAGTGCTACGCCTACAGTGAAGGGTGAATCCAGTGGTGGTGGTAGTGTTGGTGGTGGTAGTGGTGGTGGTGGTGCTGCACCAACGCCAAGATACGCCAGAAGCCCGGCAAAAAGAGGACAATCCTTCCCTGTGTTCGCAACTCTGAGGCCACCACACTCCTCTGGCCACCATCAGCTATCCAAGAGCCCCCTGCTCTCGCCTAACAACGAGCTAACCTCTGCAATAGGAAGAAAATTGTCTCGTGAGTGGGGTTCTGGGAACATAGATCTCACCAGGTCCTCTGAGGCGGTCGCCAGTGGTTCCACGTACACTCTGAACCTGGAGATGACCCTGTCCCTAGAGAGACCGTCACATGAGAAGATCTTGGACGACGCTTTGCCCATTAAGAAGCCTATCAGACGAGCCAGAAGTCACGAGAACAGGGACAGTGGAAAACTGATGGCGGATCTACCATCGCCAAGGATCACAGCACAGCCTGTGGTGGGTGGTCGATCGGTAAGCGAACGAACGAAAAAGCAGTTAGAGTCAGAGTTGAAAGCAATCTTAAGTGCCAGAGCTCATCACCGCGACTTGCATCCTCCTTGATAGATGAACGACGACTTGGTATAATTATTAGGAAAAAAAAGGAGTGGCAGATGGTTGAAAAATGCGAGCAAAGAAAGCTTGGAGAGGATCGTTGCCTCTGAGGGGCTTTGATTGATTGATTTAAGCAATATCAGATTTATAGGTCAATTTGTAGAGGAAAAATCCGACAAAAACTATACACGAAAAGATATTTAAAAGAAAAAAAAAAAACTAGAAAGAAACACTTGAAAAAAAAAAAAAGATATTATAGACACAGTGTCTCTGGGGGTAATTAAGAAGTGTAACAAAAGAGATCTCTTTCGACCGAGGAAGGCAGAAGCGAGAAGTGTCTCTTTTTATCTGTTCATCATGTTGTTACGTACATTGATAAAAATATGATAGAATATGTTGAAAAATGGAAAAAAAGTGCTATAAAACTTTTAGTAGAGGTTTGTCTTAACGAGTAGTAGAGTACTTAAACGAATAACTAAGAATATTTTCTTGTTGGCAATTTTAACTCTACACCAACCGTCAGTCTCTGACCGAGTCTCTCCGCGAAAAGTATCGTAACTATATACGTGTTTTATACACTGCCGTATTTCTCAACTTGCCCTATTCACTTTTATCCGCCTTACTGGCCTTCATTCTTGGAATTGTTGACACGAACAAAACGAAGTTCTGAACAAAAATTACAAAATACCAAAAGGGTTGAGAAACACTGGTCTACGGAATTTCGCTGAATCGCATACTGCCATACCTTTGATAATTCTCCCTGAGGAGAGGGAGAGACTCGCTCGAAGAACTCTCGGCGTAGAATGACCACTTACTTGAAGAGAATAAAAAACAAAAAAAAAAGAGGAAAATAGAAAAAAGAAAAGAAACCGTACATAATATTTCATTGAAACTGTCTCATTCGAGAGAAACGAGAAGACGTACGTGGAATTTTAATCGGACGAGTCACTTTTTTACACACATTAATCTCATTCCATTCTTATAGGGGGAATCCGTGTGTTTGCTTTCACATACGTCGGTTCGTTAGACTGATAATAGGCGGAGAAAAAAGTATAATCAGGAATTGCACGCACACATCGAGTTATTAGCCACCATTGGAATTGAATAAGCACACACACGCAACCACACACACTTTTTCTCGATATTCCCTTTTCCTCTTCACTCTCTCACTCTCTCTCTCTCCCTCTTTCTGTATCTATCCCTCTGTGAAAGTGGATTGTCATGTTCCGGTTCTGAATCTAATCCCAACCCGATTTATTAGTGTGTTAAAATGAATGTGTGGGACTAAATTAATCGAAAAATAATTGATGAGCGAGGCCTTAGGAGTAGTCGATCCGCCCAATTCTTTACTTACGGACATAGGCTTAGTTTATCGTATTACCGACAAAAATTCGCTATACAATTACAATTATAAAATATAGTGATAGCGATTTAGTTTCATAGTTTTCTCGTTAGGCATCTGTATCCGAGATAGTCTAGTGAGGTAGAGACTCTCACGGATGTGTATATTAGAGCCCTAAATTATTGATTCAGAGAGGTACCGAAGAGCTGACATACGAAAATTCTTCGCTGGCTTGACTGCCTTTCATTTTCATAATTTCACGACAAAGTGACTGTTGTAACTGATGAAATTGCATTCATTTCACCATTTACCACCATAATCAGCACCAATCCCATATATTTCTTTTCACTCAATTGAATTACTCACGCGCGAAGGAGAAGAAAACTTGATTGGCTTGTTTGTGCGGTACGGCAGATTCAAGAAGTAATCAAAATACAAATACATAGGGGGCCAGTTTAGAGTCACCCAAGCCTAACTAAATCAAAGATAGACTTATTAATTAATAGCTGTAATGATTCTTTGATAAGTGGGTTCTTGGCCGGTAATTTGGTTCAGTAGTGATTTTCTTGACAGTTCTTTTCTCTGGCTCATTCCAGTGTGTATAAAAAAAAACGAAATGGGAAAGAAAGAAACCTGTCTTCTGAAAGTTCTTGTACATACGTGTCTTCTACTCTAGATACCTGAAGAGGCATTATTGCACTGAATTAAAGGTCGAGCCCCCTACTTCATTGTGCGCCAACAAGAACCTGTACAGTTTGCCAAAATTAAATGGAAAGATCAGAGTAAACTGTGTAATATATCCTCATTGTGCAATTGGAAAGAGAATCAAAAAATAACTAATGAACTAATCAGGAAAATTGAATCGGCCTATTTAATATAAGAAAAAGCACTACTGTATTTCTTAGTTAAATAATGCACACACTTTTGGGTTTGTCACTTACTCTTTTCTTTCCATTCCCTAAATTAACAATCGACATCATGAAGTGTTTTCATTCATCTAAAAGTTCACAACAAAAAAGAAATGTTCAGAAATTCTAATTGAAAGAAAGAGGATTCCAATGGATACAGATTAGAGGCTACTGATTGTCTCTTGTTGATAAATATAAAAGAAATTTTTGCAATTCAGTTGTTAGAGATAACTAGAGTTTAAAGTATTATTAGCATCGTATTAGCCTTAATACATTAATTCCATATCTAATGGCAATAAGATTATTCTACACTACAAAACACTGCCATAATTTCAACTATTGTTATATTGATTTCAAAATCCTGCCAGATATAATGTTACCATCATATTAAATCTCATAACATGTTGAAGTAAACTTTCTTAAAACTGAAGTACTTAACAACAAAGATAGTTGTGAAGAAAGTGTATATTCTTTGTTTAGGTTCACAATAAAAATATCTGAACTTGTCACTCAATTATGAGAACATTTCTAATATAAAATATATAGAACATTAAGGGGTAAGAATGAAACACCAGAAACTTGTTCAATGAATTCTATGCATATAAAATAACATCTCTATTCACAGAACAAGGTTCCTACTATCTGTGAAATTTATTTTTTCAATGATCACTGCTGTGGAACTTTGTATATTGTAGAAATCTACCTGTAAACCTGTGAACTGCATAGAATGCAATGCTAAAGCCACAAAGGCTCAACTTTTTCCAAATTACATATGGCTCTTTTATTTCTCTACCAAGCATAAAATGTAACATTGGTTATCACACTGTTACATGTGAGCTAATATTATTAATTTGGTAGATATACCATATCTCAAAAATCCATTATTATTCACGTTAAATTAAAGTTGTAATGATCATGCCATAATGTGATCACGATGCGTGGCAACTTTAATGAAACAATTATTGTAAAATTCATACAAAAAAGTAGAGAGAATACACAAGAGTAGCGGAGATTCTGTTCCCGCGGTGACTTGTTGGCGTACGGTATTAGGTTAGGTTCCTCGTAACCTACCTCGTCTCTCTTGTTACGCCTACTATTATACTGTTATTGTTGAGAACTCCATATTAATAAGAAATAAATATATTGTCTCAAAAATACACACGATTATAACCCTACCACAACTCCAATCTCGTAACTGAAAGCATTTACGTAATTGGAAATAAACGTGTCATGTCACCATGACCTGACTACTTCTTCCAATATTTACCAAACAAAATCAGGAAAAAGGTAATGTGAGTGAACGCAGAGTAACCTATATCAAAGGACGATCCTTAGAACGATTTGCCACAAAGACATCACCGAGGACATGGTAGTTCAAAGGTGCACACAAGCTGGCTCAAAGGTAGAGAGACGGACGTGGACAGACTACGTGCTTCATTAGACAGAGTAAGCGAAAGAATTGCAAGTCATTCGCGTCATCTTCGATCACGAGTGCTGTTTCACGGTCGAACTTTCGCTCGTATGTTTGTTTCGCGAGCTTCACCGTACCAGAGGTATCCCAATCGTCCTCACGCCACGACTGAACCCGCGATTACAGTGACATGTAAATATATACGACAATAATTCGCGTTCTGTCGATCATTCCACTCGTTTTCATTGCCTTACACAATCAATTTCAACGTCCACAGACTTACAAAAGCTGACTAGCGTATCGAGCCATGTGTGAAATGCAGATTTTTCATTCAAAAGTCGAATAACACAAAGAACAACCGTGTCTCGTTATCAGCTCTTTAGTAATGTGCTAACGTAGACGTTACGCATCTCTCTCTGGGGAAATAGTGTGTATCAGATGCTGGTCTGGGGACAACAGCGAAGCTGTCAATGCACAGGATCCCGTGGAAGCACATGCGTATGGTAATTCAGCGTTTGACGTGAGCCAGCAGCATTCGAAGGGTGCCTGCGTCGTCATCGTAGTGCACTGTTGATGAATTAATCAGCCGAATCGTTCGAATTATGATCGTTCTTCAGTCGTGTCTACGATCCCCCTCTTAGTTTACACGAGTCGAGCAAAGATATCAGCACTGAAGAATTTTTTCCGTCACACACACTCACTCTCTCTCTCTCTCTCTCTCACTCTTTCTCTTTCTCTCTCTCACCAGTGAGTGCTTCGTTTCTCTTATATACTGACGGTTCTTCTATCATTCCAGTGAGTATGATTTTAGCATTAAAATACAGTTCATGGATGAGTGTTGATAATTTGATTCCATTGCAGTTCATTTTAATGGATGAGGAAGACTGCTGTATGAAAAAAGAAGCTCATGGCAGCTTCCACTCGGAGAGCCTTGGATCCAGCTCTTCATTCATGACAGAGGATGAAGGCCTAGAGGGCATTGAGAAACATGGAGATCTTGGAGACATGACATTCTATATGACCAATTACATTAAAGATGCCATGAAGATGATGTTCATCATGCGTAGCCATCATATGTTAACTGATGTTATATTGGAAGTAGGCTCTGAATTGTTCTATGCACACAAAGTCATTTTGGCTGCTGCTAGTCCATATTTTAAGGTGATTTATATAAAAAAAATTTCAGATAAATGGAAAGTTATTTATAATACATTATTTATAACATTACAGGCAATGTTTACAGGAGGCCTGAAAGAATCGGACATGAACAGGGTGAAATTACAGGGTGTTTGTCCAACAACCATGGCACGCTTGATGTATTTCATGTACACTGGTCAAATAAGAGTGACAGAGATTACAGTATGTTCACTTTTATCAGCAGCTACAATGTTTCAGGTGTGTATAAAGATAAGCATTGAACAAAAAAAAAAAAGATGTGTCACAGTTATTTTATCATGATGCAGGTTAGTAATGTCATTGATGCCTGTTGCGTTTTCTTGGAAAGGCAGTTAGATCCAACAAATGCAATTGGAATTGCAAACTTTGCCGAACAACATGGTTGTCAAAATCTGTATCAGAAAGCAAATCAGTTTATTGTTCAACATTTCAATCAGATATGTCAGGAAGAAGAGTTCCTGCAGTTATCTGCAATACAATTGATAGCATTGGTGAGAAAGGACGAACTGAATGTGCAGGAGGAGAGGGAAGTGTACAATGCTGTCCTAAAATGGGTGAAGTACAATGAGGAAGCAAGGGGACCCAAAATGGAACATATTTTGCATGCAGTGAGATGTCAATACCTCACACCAAATTTTTTGAGAGAACAAATGAAGAACTGTGATGTGTTGAAGAAGGTACCAGCCTGTAGAGAATACTTAGCTCAAATTTTCAAGGATTTGACACTTCACAAGAAACCAGTGGTGAAAGAAAGAACACCAAACACTACAAGAGTGATATACATAGCTGGTGGTTTTTTGATACATTCTTTGGACGTTCTCGAAGGCTACAATGTCGACGAGAAAACGTGGACTCAACATGCCAAATTGATTGTTCCTAGGTCAGGCTTAGGTGGAGCATTCCTGAAGGGTATGTTCTATGCTGTTGGTGGAAGGAACAACTCACCGGAGTGCAGGTAAGCATATCGAAAAAAAAAAAATTAAGTTTCTCAGAAGATTAAACACTAGTATTTTTAGATTCGATAGTGATTGGGTCGACAGATACAATCCTGTCACTGATCAATGGAGATCCTGTAGCCCAATGTCTGTGCCAAGAAATCGAGTAGGAGTAGCTGTGATGGATGGATTATTGTATGCTGTTGGAGGTAGTGCGGGTGCAGAGTACCATAACAGTGTCGAGTGTTACGACCCGGAACATGACAATTGGACCAATGTAAAACGAATGCACGTCAAGAGATTAGGAGTTGGTGTGGCTGTGGTTAATAGGTAGTCGTCAGAAGTTACCCGAGGATTTAATGCAATTTTAAATTCTATCGTTGGCATAAATTATGATATAACAGATTGCTTTATGCCATTGGTGGATTCGACGGTACAAATCGACTGAACTCTGTGGAGTGTTACCATCCTGAGAACGATGAATGGACCATGGTTTCTTCTATGAAGTGCAGCAGATCAGGAGCTGGAGTGGCTAATCTTGGACAACACATATACGTTGTGGGAGGATACGATGGGAGCAGACAATTGAACTCTGTGGAAAGATACGATACAGAAAGAGACACGTGGGAGTATGTTAGCAGTGTCACTATTGCTCGTAGCGCACTCAGTGTGACTGTGCTGGATGGGAAGTTGTATGCAATGGGTAAGGATCAAAAGAATTTTAAATCGTTAATTTCATTCCCTAATTTTCGGCTGTTTGATACTTCCAGGGGGTTACGATGGAGAACACTTTTTAAATATAGTAGAGATTTACGATCCTGTAAAAGACACGTGGAAACAAGGAGTGCCTATGACCTCGGGAAGATCAGGTCATGCTAGTGCTGTGTCTTATCATCATTGTCCAAATCATTGTGATCATTTGGACCATAATATATCGCTAGAAAAACCACCATCGTGATATATGTAATGAACCGATGTTAGTTTAGATATATTGGTGTAAATGCAACTCTTAGCATGGGAGAAGAAAAAAGAAATGCAAAGAGGAACAGAATTATTTAAGTTGTAAAGTGACGAGCCAGCTTCTCGATTATCACAGACTGATAATTATACCTATGTTTCAAAGTTGTGGAATAAGCTTAGTTCCTGAACTACAGAACATTTTGACATTCTATGATTTTATTTTCCCTGAAAGGACCAGTGATTTACTTCCATTGAGAGTAGCATATACTACATGTGCTTTTATAAAGATCTTAACTACCATGTAAATATAATGTTATTTCAAAAAGAAATAGATGTTTATCAAGCTTTTCATATTCAAATCACTGTGCAGTTGTAATATATATGTATATGTATATGTGTAAAGATGCACAACTGATTCGTGCATTTTTTACTTCGTTATTTATTAAATATATGTATATGTGTATATATATATATATACATATTCCTTGACATTAAGAAGTGTTCAATCGAAAGACTCAAGTTTCTCGAAAGACTTAATTACGATAAAATAAAAAAAATTATTACGAATATGTGTGTTTTATTTCAATGCTCTTCCAATTTAATATAATTTTCGCCGCGTCGTCTACATCCATTATCTAACGTCTCGAAAAAGGTACGTGGGAGTGAAAAACTGTCAAGATGGACCACGCTAATCGATATTTTCGAAAGCTGAGGAACGCGGACGATTCGACGACTGAGACCTCTCTTTGAATTATTCGTGAACGATAATTATTCTCTTCCAAACATAATTAATAATTTGTTTTTAACGATTTTCTACGAATACCTGCATATACTTCAAGTATACAGTGTCTACCTGTTACCTATAGTGGTAGTACTACTGTGGTGAGGTTATAAATGCGATGATCGTCTAAAAGTAACTATTTGAATGACAAATAGGATAGAAGACCATGAAAATCATTAATTTCTCTACGATATGTTCCACCGAATGTGAATCAACGAAAATTCGGTGGACCATGTGAAATTCAATTTTATACAACAATGAAATCTGTGTACAAATTGTTCTTTCTGTGCCTTATCTTTGTTGCTCTGATCATATTACTTAATTTGACCAATTTTTCCAACAAAAGCTACGATGCGCCCACCAAAGAAGCCTCCATTTCATCTACCATCTCCAGAAAAATTCAACCATCCTCTATAACAACAGGGGAAGTAACAATATGTGTAGTGGTTTGTGGGGACAGAGTGGATGAAGCACTAACCATGCTCAAGTCTGCCTTAGTTTTCACAAAAAGAGCCCTACAGTTCATCATTCTAGCAGAGACCAACTTAATCCCTGCCTTCAATGAAAAGTTAGCAGAATGGAAGCTTCTGTCCAACAAAACCTTTGACTTTGTGGTCAAACCCATCACATTTCCTGAGGGCAGTGATGCATCTATGTGGAAAAAATTGTTCAAGCCATGTGCAGCTCAAAGATTATTTCTACCAGTGAGTATACTTAAAATTTTAATAAATAAAAAATTATTATTAAATATACATTATGTGCATTACAGGCAGTGTTGAATGATACAGATGCAGTTCTGTATGTGGACACAGACACATTGTTTCTAGCTCCTCCAGAGAAAGTCTGGGATGAATTCAAGAAAATGAACTCCATCCAATTGGCAGCACTCAGTCCAGAGCACGAAGACCCAAACACAGGATGGTACAACAGATTTGCCAAACATCCTTATTATGGCAAGCTGGGTGTGAATTCTGGAGTGATGTTAATGAATCTGACCAGGATGAGGGAGTTCAGGTGGATAGAGTATGTGATACCTATCCACAAGGAGTACAAGCTAAAGATAACTTGGGGAGATCAGGATATAATAAACATTATATTCCATTATCATCCTGAGAAACTGTATGTGTACTCTTGCCGATACAATTACAGGCCTGATCACTGCATGTACATGCCAGTGTGCACAAAGGCTGAGAAAGAAGGTGCTCTAGTATTACATGGATCCAGAGGAACATTCCATTCACAGAAACAGCCACCATTTAAGGCCATCTACAGGGCTATGCAGGAGTATCAACTGAATACAGATGCTTACGACTATTTATTGGTGCCAATGAGAAACTACCTAGCCCTGGAGCATAAGTCTAACTGTGGCAAAGTGTGGAAAGTGTTCATCATTCAGCCAGAATTACACCTAGGACAGCAATAATATATTTAAACGTCTATTCAATATAGTACTTCCTTCAATCAGCCATTGAACACCTAATGATATTTAATATACCTTGTACACACAGACTGACTAAGTTCCATAGTGCATTCTACCAGTTTTGTTCGTTAACAAATACAAGCTGTGATTGTTACTACTGTTTAACATAGAGAGAGAGAGAGAGAGAGAGAGAGAGAGCGAGAGAGAGAGAGAGTGAGTGAAAGAGAAAGGGAGAGAATTATTGTATTATTAGCTAAGATCATTTCGACAATACCCTTTGGATGATAGGTTCAGAAAATTTTTGAATCTCCTTGTATACTTAAAGCTCGATTTAGATTTGTTAGAAATTTTATACAACTGCACTATCAGTGCAGAAACGTTTTATATACACGACTATAATTATTTTATTATTCTATACGTTCTTTGTGATACTTTTCTTACACGGAAATAAAGAAAATCGTTCAACCTAAACGCTTGTTGCCATATCTTAACATCATGCTACTAATAAGATACATCGTCGAGTGCAGCCAAGATAACGCGCCACGCTGCTATGAAGGTGGAGAGGGGGCCATTGCGCGCGAAGGGACCGGAATAAGGGAGCTGCAGTGCGGAGATACGCTCCTGTGGTTCACGATCGCTCGTGAAATCGTATACGTCCACAAAACCTTACTGGCCACAGTCGAACAATCGTTTAACCCACTTGCCAGTTCCTCAAGGAGAGAAAGAGAGGGAAGATGGGATCTTGGATCCACGATGATAGCGTGGTTAGTGCATTAGAATAGCGATAACGATCGTATGGGCGTCAGTGGTGGTGATAAGAACGGATTGCTGTCAGTGAAACGGTACACGTCAGACATGAGG